GCTGTGACATATCTGACATTGTTGTACCCTGTGCTTCCCCAGAGGACCATGAGTCACATACCCCACTAATGACTTATGTATTCAGCCGGAATAGGAAGAGTTACATAAAAACATAGAAGAGTGATGGCAGAAAAAGACCAAATGGTCCAGGGAGGTTGTCCAGTTTTTTAATCTTTTGGTCTGAGTATAGACCTTGGTTTGTCCCAGGCATGTTCACATTCATTTACTGTTGACTGACTCTGCACCTCTGCTGGAAGTCTTCTCCAAGCATCAACTACTCTTTCAGTAAAATAATACTTTTGAACTTTCCTCTTGCTTGAGGTCAAGTCTCTGTTTGATCCTAGCTTCATATTAAAAATACTGCCCTCCTGAACCCTCTTCAGGTGGAACTAAACTCAACTCCCATTGCTTCCTTACCAGCTCTGACATCTTCACCTGATCGTCTTCCAGGTCCTAAATCTACAATTTTCTTGATTAGCTGGGCCCAAATGATGTAATTCCAATGCATGCATATGGACGTTTATTCATCCCGGAACCAGGCGGTGCTAAGAATGTACACTGAGCTCTGCATACTGGGCAGCATAGTGGGATGATAACCACCTCTGCTTTGAAGCACTGGGGTTCTCAGTTGGAGTCCCGGACTGCATTGAGTTTGCATGTTCTCCCGATGCTTAAATGGGTTTACTTCAGTTTTCATCCCCAGACATGGCCCTAGTATGTGTACTTACAGTATACATATGAGATAGGGATATGTGATTGTAAGCTCATTGAGGGCAGGTACTGATGTGACCAAACAATATGTAAAGGGCTGTATAAATCATCAATGCTATATATACCTGCAATGTACCACCTTCTTCCTGCTAGGGACCCCTCTAGGGATAACTGACGCTCTATATAGGGGAATCAGGACCTACTTCCTCCTACTGGGGATCCCTCTAGTGCAGTGGTTCTCAACCTGTGGGTCGGGACCCCCTCGGGGGTCGAATGACGATTTGCCAGGGGTCGCCTAGTGGCTCTCGGCTGCCGGGAGAGAAACACTTTCTCCCGGAAAGGTCGGGACCTTTCTCTGCTCTGTTTTTTTTTTTGAAAATCGGGGGCAGCCGTAAGTCAGAAAAAAAACAACCCACTATAGGAATGCATAGCTAGATTCCTATTGGCTATTTCACTTTGCAAAAGCCAATAGCAAACTAGCTATTGCACCCGCCCTCTGTTGCTGCCAATCAGCAGAGGGGGACCTGAAGTTCTCCATCAGGTCCCCTTCTAGTGATTGACAGCAGCAGAGGGCGGGTGCAATATGTATGTATTCAAGCAAACAATTTTGTAAAACACACCTCTAGCTATGCATTCCATTTTCCCGGTCCGTAGCTGCAGAGATTGGGAAATGTCTCAGTGCCTGTGATTGGCACTGTGCACTGTCAGCTTCCTGGCGGGCTCGGCACATGGAGCTGCGAACACGCCCGAGCCCATCCCTATCAGTGACAGTACTGTGGAGTATGTACCTCATACGTTATATAGCCACACACTTTAAATCCAATTCTTCTAGTTCCAGCTGCAGAGCTCGGTCCCGTCTTTGCCTATAGCAGCGGTTCTCAACCTGTGGGGTCGCTGTGCAAGGTGAGAGTCCTCCTCGGCTCTCTCCTAGCGCAGCAGTCTCAGTTCTCCCGCCACACCACCAGATGTCACTGCAGCAGCCGTGTCATCCCTAAATTTTAGCTTTGGGGGTCACCACAACTTGGCAAATGTTACCAAGGGGTCCCGGCCCTAGAAAGGTTGAGAACCACTGCTCTAGTGATAACTAAAGATCTATATAGAGGAATCAGGACCTCCTTCCTCCTGCTGGAGATCCCTCCAGTGATAACTAAAGATCTATATAGGGGAATCAGGATCTCCTTCCTCCTGCTGGAAATCCCTCTAGTGATAACTAAAGATCTATATAGCGGAATCAGGACCTCCTTCCTCCTGCTGGGGATCCCTCTAGTGATAACTAAAGATCTATATAGCGGAATCAGGACCTCCTTCCTCCTGCTGGGGATCCCTCTAGTGATAAAGTGATAGATTGGTTCTGAGGAAGGAGGTGTGTCCTCTGAAACGCGTCAACCTAGAAGGGTTTGCCGCTTGTCAGCCGCACCGGAGTTCTATGTCTGTTGTTTTGTGGGTATGTTTTTAACTCTTTTTACATTGTTTGATTAAAGCGGTTTTACACGATGGAGGCGCTCTTTTTTGCTTTCTATATAGAGGAATCAGGACCTCCTTCCTCCTGCTGGGGATCACTCTAGTCATTACTAAAGATCTATATAGAGAAATCAGGACCTCCTTCCTCCTGCTGGGGATCCCTCTAATGATAACTAAAGATCTATATAGAGCAATAAGGACCTCCTTCCTCCTGCTGGGGATCCCTCTAATGATAACTAAAGATCTATATAGAGCAGGGGCGCCCACTATTTTTCGTCTGGAGATCTACTTTTCAAATGACGAGCTCATTGAGATCTACCAACGAAAAAACACCTGCATTCAGGGGCGGGAGGGGGCGTGGGCTGCGCAGGCAGGCCCCTCGCCCACAGTGCGATCGCCTGCATTAGTGCCTGTGTTCCAGTCCAGTGCGATCCGCAAAAATGCTGCGAGCACTATTTTTACAGAATTGTGTGTATGAGCCTGATGACGGGGACCATACGTGGCCCCGAAAGTATATTGAATCTACTTTTGGAGTGCTGGTGACATCTTTTGGAATCACTATTTTTGCAGATCGCAATGGACCGGAATGCAGGCACTAATGTGCCTGCGTTCCGAGTGCGGGCGATCGCACTGTGGGCGATGCCATTGACTTCAACACAGCTCCACACCCCCTCCCGCACCGGAACGCAGAGAGTCAGCCTGCTTACATTCCAGTACATTACAGGTCCCTTAGAGGAATCAGGATCTCCTTCCTCCTGCTGGGGATCCCTCTAGTGATTACTACAGATCTATATAGAGAAATCAGGACCTCCTTCCTCCTGCTGGGGATCCCTCTACTCATTACTACAGATCTATATAGAGGAATCAGGACCTCCTTCCTCCTGCTGGGGATCCCTCTACTCATTACTACAGATCTATATAGAGGAATCAGGATCTCCTTCCTCCTGCTAGGGATCCCTCTAGTGCAGCGGTTCTCAACCTGTGGGCCGCGACCCCATTGGAGGTCGAATTATGATTTGCCAGGGGTCACACGGGAGTCTCCCGCTATTTGATAGCGGCTCCCAGCTGCCCGGGAGAGAAACACTTTCTCCCGGAAAGGTTTACTCTGCTCGATCGAGCGGAGTAAACCTTTCCCTGCGATCGCCTTTTTTTTTCTGACATCGGGGGCTGTCGACCGCCGTAAGTCAGAAAAAAAAACCCACCATAGAAATGCATAGCTACATTCCTATTGGCTATTTCACTTTGCAATAGCCCACAGCAAACTAGATATTGCACCAGCCCTCTGCTGCTGCCAATCAGCAGAGGGGGACCTGAGGTTCTCCATCAGGTCCTATTCTAGTGATTGACAGAAGCAGTGTGCGGGTGCAATAGCTAGTTTGCTATTGGCTATTGCAAAGTGAAATAGCCAATAGGAATCTAGCTATGCATTCCTATGGTGTTTTTTTATTTTATTCTGACGGCGTACGTGGCTACGGAAAGAAGATTAACATTTGTAAGGGAACAAGGGATGCCAGGTATCGCCAATCTAGCTGTGCATTTAGTAAGCATAAGATCTGCAGCACTAATAGGACACAAACATCCTTGGGATGCTGGAATTCATATAAATTCCTTACTACATCTTCCCAGAAAGAGTAGATTGACTCATATGGCAACAACTAATTATTCTGGTCGCTGGGGAATATCACTGAATAATAAGGCTAATCTCAACAAATAGAAAAACATGTTCTACAGCAGTGCTTCTCAACCTGTGGGTCGTTGTGTGATTTCTGCTGTGCTAGGTGAGAGTCCTCATTCCTCCTGCTGGTGATCCCTCTAGTGATAACTATTGATCTATTAGAGGAATCAGGACATCCTTCCTCCTGCTGGTGATATTTTCTAGTGATAGCTAAAGATCTATATAGAGGAATCAGGACCTCTTGCTGGTGATGCACTCAAGAATTTTTTTCCACTTTCCACGTTCTTTGCTCATTTTGCAATCATCTGAAATGCGCACCCCCAAACCCTTTTCCTGTGTAGCTCTGGCCAGCACTGACCCCAATATTGTAATGTATCAGAAGTGTCCCCTTTTCCCTTAAAGTGTATTCTTTGGCATTTAGAAACTATGAACTGCGGTGTTCATTGCTTTGCCCAATCTTCCAGCATGTTCCACGTTACAAACACCTCCCGGACTCTCAGCCCTATTGTACACCTTTGTGTCATCAGCCTTTTTTTTTCTATCTGAGAGCTGCTAATTTTAGAAAACTGGCTCATATAAGCAGGGCCGTAACTACAGATCACAAGGCCCCATAGCAAAAATGTGACACCCCCCCCCCACACACACAAACAAACAAGATGACCTCTCTCTGAGCTGTGATGCCAAGATCCCAAAAGACTCCTCTTGTGCATCTGAACTCTCTACATTGTAGACTTTAACTCCAGCCCTTAATGATACCGTACAGTATTACACTCACATGTCCTATGTTTAATTTGCCTCAACAAACTAATGGGGCCCCCTTCCATTCCCAGGCCCCATAGCAGTCACCTGGACTGCTATGGCTATGCTTACAAGGATTTCATAAAGCAGCAAAGTTAGCCCTGAAAGCCAACATTTCCAAATCTCCAAAACCTGATAGGTAGAGGGGACCTGCACACACGCTGCTCTTCCCCATACTGGCCACTAGGGGGCTCTGTGCTCTGCCAGTACGGCACGGACTTCCCAAGTAAATACGATGTTACACAATCACATATTTGTTAGGTACCAGCCAGTACTCAATGATAGACACGCCCCTCCTTTGGAAATTGACCAATCGTCGAACAGCCACGTCCAGACTCGCAGCGAGGTGTGGAACGCAGGCAGAAGCGCTGACCGCGGTGCGCATGCGCGGAGAGGGGGGACACGGTTGTGCCTTAGTGGCACTTTTTGGGAAGAGGAGGTCAGAGGAGGCTGCGATGGAGAGACCACAGAGTGCAGGTGAATGGAGGATCTATAGGATGATCCATACACGGGGGCCACTGTACTCTGACATGACACGGTGGGGGGATAGAGGGAGAGGTGAAGTTACAGAGGTGTGATAGACGAATACAGCAACCTGCATTATCCCATTATAGAAGGCTGGTCATGTCATGGTCTCCTAGTTGACATGGCATTGTCAGAATTATGTCATGTCTATTATTATCACACAAGGAATGCCCAATAAGCAGAAGTTGAAATATATGAAGAATGACGGGAGGGGTGCGTTATATGAAGGATGGCCTGGAGGGGTGCGTTAAATGAAGCATGACGGGGAGGGGTGTGTTATATGAAGAATGGCATGGAGGGGTGCGTTATATGAAGGATGACGGGGAGGGGTGCGTTACAGGGAGGGTGGCGGGGTGGGTTATATGGAGGATGACGGGGAGGGGTGCGTTATATGAAGGATGACATGGAGGGGTGCGTTTAATGTAGGATGACGGAGGGGTTACACGGAGGATGACGGGAAAGGGTTTGTTATATGAAGGATGAGAGAGAGGGGTGTGTTATTTTAAGGATGACGGGGAGGGGTGTGTTATATGAAGGATGACGGGGAGGGGTGTGTTATATGAAGGATGACGGGGAGGGGTGCGTTATATGAAGGATGACGGGGAGGGGTGTGTTATATGGAGGATGACGGGGAGGGGTGTGTTATATGAAGGATGACGGGGAGGGGTGCGTTATATGAAGGATGACGGGGAGGGGGGCGTTATATGGAGGATGACGGAGGGGTTACACGGAGGATGACGGGGAGGGGGGCGTTATATGGAGGATGACGGAGGGGTTACACGGAGGATGACGGGGAGGGGGGCGTTATATGGAGGATGACGGAGGGGTTACACGGAGGATGACGGGGAGGGGGGCGTTATATGGAGGATGACGGAGGGGTTACACGGAGGATGACGGGGAGGGGGGCGTTATATGGAGGATGACGGAGGGGTTACACGGAGGATGACGGGGAGGGGGGCGTTATATGGAGGATGACGGAGGGGTTACACGGAGGATGACGGGGAGGGGGGCGTTATATGGAGGATGACGGAGGGGTTACACGGAGGATGACGGGGAGGGGGGCGTTATATGGAGGATGACGGAGGGGTTACACGGAGGATGACGGGGAGGGGGGCGTTATATGGAGGATGACGGAGGGGTTACACGGAGGATGACGGGGAGGGGGGCGTTATATGGAGGATGACGGAGGGGTTACACGGAGGATGACGGGGAGGGGGGCGTTATATGGAGGATGACGGAGGGGTTACACGGAGGATGACGGGGAGGGGGGCGTTATATGAAGGATGACGGGGAGGGGTGCGTTTAATGTAGGATGACATGGAGTGGTGCGTT